TGCTCTCCTTTTTATTGTCATAGCAACAATGTACTTCTTAGGGTGTCCTTATAATATCTACCAGTTTTCCATTTTGATGTCTTTAAAACTAGGAAAAAAAGCACACTGATCATCTGTAAAGAAAAGGAAATAAATAAGGTCAGCATTAAATGTAATTTAAAATAATACATGCAATTATTTTTACTTGGTGTTATTACATCTACAAATAGTAAATACTAAATAGCATATATAGTATAATAAATCACATTAGTCTTAAAACACATGAAACAATAAAATCTTATGTTATTAACCACTCAACATGATGATTTTGAGAGTTTGTGACTTTATTTACGTAGGAAGCCATGGTAACTTAGCTACTGGACTTTCTGATAGTATCACAAACTTCAGATTATATGCAAATCTCAAGTATCCTTTTCATAATGTCATGCCTTACTTATTGTGCCAGACCCCTATGGCTGTTCTCTTCAGAAGGATGTGTTCACAAAAACTATGTTAATTAATGTTAATATGTTTATTACATCTAATTTGCTGTGTAACTGATTTAAAAGGACAGTTCTCATTTTAATAACATATAAAATCAGGAAGAAGTAAACTTAGTATAATAAAAAGGCTTATCATTTATTTCAAAATGAGAAAGAAACAGAACTTTGCACATGTAGAGTGAAGGAAGGAGATGGAGGTTTGTTAAGTAAGTGTAAGTACATATACATGTGCTCATATGTATATATTATATGTATATACACACAGCCACACATGCACATGCATATAAGTTGTGTATACATACGCATATAAATATACACACATATAAGTGCAATATATGGCATATATACACATAAAATAATAAACATGTAAATTAGTAGCATGAGACTAATTAAGCATAATCCACATAATAATTATCCACCTTGAGCCAGGCATGGTGGCTCATGCCTGTAATCCCAGCACTTTGGGAGGCTGAGGTGGGTGGATCACTTGAGGTCAGGAGTTTGCGACCAGTCTGACCAACGTGGTGAAACCCCATCTCTACTAAAAATACGAAATAAACTGGGCATGGTGGTGCATGTCTGTAATCCCAGCTACTTGGGAGGCTGAGCCAGGAGAACTGATTGAACCCAGGAGGCAGGGGTTGCAGTGAGCTGAGTTCGCTCCAGCCTGAGTGACAAGAGCAAGACTCCACCTCAAAGAAAAAAAAAATATATCCACCGTGTTCATAGAGCAAATATATTTTTTTCTAGTTTGGTACAGAAAAAAGAGAGAAGTTATTGTATACTTATTTTGTTGATATTATAATGACGAGTACGTCCTTTCAATAACTTTGTTTCAGATTTATTACCTAAAAAAACATCGGGGAGAGAGGAGGCAGTTTATGCTAAAAAGCCCAAAGATTATGAAGCCAGGGATAGTGCATTTGACCTTGTGCAGGTTTCACAATTGCTTCATTATATAGAGTATGAACGATGCTGATTATTACCTTGTAGCATTAGTTATTTTAAGGATTAATTGAAAAAATGTTTATATAGTGATCAAAAGATGCTATTCCTTCTGAATTTGAGATTAAGGAACAAAGATGTTAAGAGTTATTTGAGAGTAAGTCATAATCTTCAGTATCTCTGTGGTTTTACTTTAAAGCCAATTTTAATATAGATGGAAAAGAGAGATGACTATGTGATGTGATTTTAAAACTGCCAAAAATTCTTATCCATGGTTTGCAAAAATAGCAATTATAATATGTGAAATTATTATATTACTTAATTTCTTGGTTTCAAGACCATGTAGACACCAATAAACTGATAATTATTTACATTTGTTCATGCCTTAAAATTTACAAGATGTTTTGGGCCACATCAGCACTGAGCTATGAACCCAATGCTTTTAACCCTAATGGGCGTAAGCAGTGGTCTTTTCAGATAGCTATAGCTGACTGAAAATGATATCCAGAAAGATTTTCTTCCATGAAGAATATAAGGCAAATTAAATCAGTTTCTATGATCAAAAATATACCCATGGTGAGTGGACACAAAGAAGACTGTGATGGAAACGTACCAAGAAAATTTCACATTATGAGTCCAAAGTCTAGAGGGAAATGTGAATTGAAGTGTTGATTATAACCTACAATGTTATCATTAGATTTCCTAGATCTTCGAGGAGACTGAAGGAGAAAAAGTAGCATTAAAAAGTGCCATTAAGGAGCATTTAAAGAGTCTGTGATCTAATCCTATTCCAATTCATGTCTCTCTTGTCTGGCTTGCATTTTGTAATTTAATTATTAATTCCATCATTCATTCAATCAGTATTTACTATGTTTCAGAAACTGTTCTATGTACTTGGGATTCAGTGGTAACCAAAACGATGAGTCCTACTCCCCATGAAAGTAAAATTGTAGTGGGAAATATTAAAAAAGCTGTGGGTGCCCCATAAACCATGTTTTTTTCACTTATGACTCTTCTGTCTATACTACTTACTAATCTTTAATATTTTGTTTAATTCTGACATTTTTCAAAGTCTTCCTGAATCTTCCAGTCTAATCATGGCCTTATATCTTACATGTGTGCATAGGCCTCTACTATTACACCTAAAATATTTCTTTACCTTTGTTAGCATTCTTACTTAAGAACAGGATTGGGTCTGCTTGGTATGCATATCCATTGCAATCCAAGACCTTATACACATGCATAAAAGAGATTTGTTGAATGAAATAATAAACTTAATTTGCAAATATATCCAAGAGTTAACTTTACTTTTTCAGCATATTCATCTGCTTTGCTGATTGAATTTTGGTAAATATTTCACTCAATTTTTTGGTATGTTAGTCTTCATTGATCAAATGCCTAGACATCTACCAAATTTCTACATCAGCCCGAAACCCTTTAGACTTATTCTTTCCTATTTGTAAAGACCCTTAAAATAGGCAAAGACATATATAAAACAATCATGTTAAGAGAAACACAAGAAACCATGATATTCACAATTAACATAAGTAGCACTAAATAACTATTCTATCTATACCTTTCAATTCCGTGTTGTGATAGTAAGACAAACTGTTTGTGAATTAAATATACTTACATGTATGTACATACACATTATACACACACATGCAAATTATATATGCATACAGATGGACACACACAGAACTAATGACTGACATTTTTACTACCATTTTCAAAAACTTTGAGCAGAACATTAGCTCAAAGGTAATAAAGAACAAATTTCAAACCCATTAGGGAGAAAAATTACCTATGGAACTGGAGTAGATCTGATATATCCAATAAAATTGGGGATAGCAACTTGAATTATGATCCGGAAGACTGACAGAGTGATTGATAGATTTCTATAAACCCATGGGTCTCGGAGAGGATTTCTTTCCTCTCTGTCTGGAGTCACAGCAACTGGCATCGTTCTTTAATCTGCAGCTGAAGCCTATGAGAATATATAATGAATTAACATAGACTTTCTTTCCTTTTCTGTCAGTTTTAGGATAATAGGAAAAGTACAGTTAGAAATATACATTAGGCTGCCAACTTGTATTTAGTAATTATTCCTTTCAAAATTGTTATTTGTTTACTTATTTGCTATTACTTCTCATCAGCTTAGTGAATTTTCTTGTATTATGCTAATGAGCACCATTTAAATAATTGCTCAGGGAACCTGTTATTTTTCACCCTTCTCTTCATAGTTCTTGTTTTATGAACAAATAGTCCTTTCCTCTTACGAACAGCATACATGGATTGACTTTGCTGTTCTGTGACTTACCAGTTGGGTGAACTTGGCCAAGTTATTTACCTTTCTGCCTTTTCTCACTTCTGAAATAAATACCTCCCCGTATTGTTATGAAGATGGATTAATACTGCATGCCAAGAAGCAGAAACTTTCTAGTCATCATTAAGTGTCAGTTTTTTTTCCAGTCCATGAGTATTGCTCTTTAAGTGACTGTGTTCTCATATTATTTATTTTATTGTAACAACAAGCGAACAGGAAAACAAAGCATATATTTAAATCTTAATTTTACATATGAAGAAATATAGTTACTAGCACAGGTTCACTTAGCTAGAAGGGCTTAGAGATGATAATTTAGATTATAACCTGGGTAATCTGGCTTCTGTAATTCATAGAATTTTAGATTAACACGGAGTAGGAGGTAAAAAGGAAATAAGTTTTGGTGCTTATTACGTGCCAGGTCTGTGCCAAGTACTTAATTTTAATTATTTCATATAATCTCCATCACAGTCCTGAAAGGTGGATACTTACTATTTTAAGAGTTCCTTTAGGCTCATGAAGTTATATAGTTTCCTTTGCTCCACCACCCAGTAAGTCGTGAATTTCAGATTAAACTACAGGCAGTAATGACTTTAAAATCTGTAATCTTTCTGTATTATCATGCTGCATTCCAGGTTTGAAGGACTCTTTCTTCAGGGTAATTTATGCCGATTTTCTCCCATTAGACCAAGTTTGGTCTAAAGAAATTAAGTAGCTTATTCAAGGCAGAGCCAAAACTTGTCTTCTCAAGCTTTTAGTTTCATATAGGTTCATTAGTTATTTTTAACCTTTGACTTATTGTTTTCTTATAATGACATTTACATATTTTAACAATTGTTTCCGTGTCTGTAAATCTCTATTTATTTTTAAGTCTGCATGTCTTTAGATCAGACTTTATGTCAAGAAGAGATCACTAGGTTAACATGCAACTTGGGGTCTTCATCTCCTTATATTGGCTTATATTGTGAAGGATGCTAGTGAATGACTTTAAAGTACTCTGCCAAGTAGTAAGTGACAAAACTGATCATAGTTGCCTATGTCTAGTAATGGCCATAACAGTGCCATGCTACTTAAAACTACACATACAAAGAAATATGATTATTATTTAAAATATCTATATAAATCGTCCTTTTATGAGAGAATCTACATTTGTCACAGTTCATATATTTTTAGTTGTCACAACAAAAGCATCCCTTTTGTTTTCCTTTTATGCTACTTTTTAAAGTTTGATAAAATCTTTACCTTTTCAGATCATTTATTCTTTGGACTGACTGCCTTAGGAATTCTGTATTTCTTCAAAATGATGGCCCTCTTCTCAGATGTATGAAGCATAGTTATCATAATGGCTGACTTTTAACACAGATGACATCATTTGAACATCATAATGGAACTGAGAATTCTTAGTTCTGTCAAATATAAAAGAGATGTTAGAAAGTCACAATTTGTAGCAGACCCAAATGGATAAAACCAAACACACTAAAAACCTTATAACTGGGAAAAGGATGTCTTCAAACAATGGAAGAACCGTCTGCTGGTGAGTGTGGAAAGTACCAGCACTGCTAACTTTACATAGGCAGCCACACAGGGCCTACCTCACCATTCCTGCTACAACGGCGATTCTTGTAGCATGCTTACCCCGTTCTACCATTCAGTTTCAAGATCTATAACTCATCCTCCCATAAACTCTACTAGATAAAGTGAGGGATCTCACTCAATGTTACATATAAAGTTAATGATAAAATATAAACCAAAATGGTGAGGATTCAGTAAATGCTTCCCTCTGTCTTCTATAAATATTAGTACAGTAAATTTTTCAACATTTCAATACACAGAGAGTCAGGACAAGCATTGTTATGTAGAATAGGGTCCTGTTCCCTGCATATGTTAAATCCATACTGACACAATCTATGCATAGTCACTGTATTCATACACAGGTATTACAAGTATTAATGTAAAAATCTATATATTATTTCATGTCAGTGCTATGATTACTGCTTTCAACATATATTTAAGTTTTTTCTAAGAAATTTGTATTTTAATTTAATATTAAATATAATTTAATAAATTATTTTTTATCATGAATAAATTTGGATAATCTGTTTTATTTTCAAGTATGATCTTTAATTCACTTATTTGAACAAAGGTTTATTTGTGTCAAAACTTTTTATTTATGCAGCTATTTTCAAGTTTTAAATTAATTTCACATTTTCCCAGTTGAGCTTTACAATATATCAATAGAAAGGAAAGTTAGTATTAGTCTCAGTATTTCTATTGCACAGAAAAGGAGAAGGAGATTAAAATTAGTATGAACAAATGTGTGTACTGATTCTAAGGTAGGAAACAGTTATTTTTGCAACAAAATAAATTTGCCAAATATTTATGTTCAGGTAATTCCACAAGGAATTTTTGTGTATAAACATTTATGATTAATTACTATATCATTGAGTGTGAGTCAGACAAGCAAATTTTGGATCTTTCCAGAGGCATTTTTCTAAATGGATATGCAGTATTATTATTGTGGAAATCAGCAATAATTTTTTTCCCCTGTAGTATCAGTCTTCCTCTTTCAGTTTTTTTGTGCTCTTAAGATAACACAGCATCCCTCTTGAGTAAGGATGCAGTCATTGCATATTCCGTGGAGAAGATGTCAACTGTGGACAAATGAAAACTACTGCTGTGTTTTATCTGGCTTCTTAGAGATAAGCACTCTAAGGTCAAGATTAATTTTTATAGTCCTGCACTCTTTATTAATTGCTTTAAATTATGATAAGAGGTCAAAACACAAGGGTCCTTCTAATTTATTTCATAATGATTAGATGTGTATATGTCTGTGTGTATGTGTGCACATGAAATATGTCTGAGAGGAAAAAGGCAAACATATGTATAATGTGTAATGAATTTAGAGACAAGATATGTAAGAGGAGACATGATGCTGACAGCCAGAGAAGTACTGCAGTATGTGTGTGGCTCTACTGGAGGCTGTCCATCAGTTTGAAGAGGAAAAGTCCATGAAACTATTTTGTTCATGGCCTTAAACAAATCTGCAACGCAAGATTAATTTTGATTTGCATAAAGTTCCCATTGCTCATACAATTACTGATTATTTTTTCCTCTAAAGTTCTACATGTCCTTTTAAGGAGCATATTGGCTTGTCTGCAAATATTTAACTAATAGAATATAGTTTGTCTCAACCTAATATATCTCATGCCATTTTTATGCTACTTTATTAAATTTATAATTTTGTTTTCATGCTTGGGCTACATTATATCCCCAATCTTCAAAAGTGAACTCACAACTAAAATGGGGTTTATGGAAGCATAAAAAATGATGAAAAGAGTAACATAAATAGTACAACCCAAAATAACATCATAAACAAAGAGTGAACTGGTCTCCAGTGGGGAAGATGAGATGTAAGTCTGTGTATGCAGAGAAAAATAAACCTGCAAGTGTCATGATTTCACAGATGTGGCAGGAAAGGAGAAGTGCAACTAGAAAGTATATTTACAAATATCTAAAATTTGAATGATATTTGACTGAAAACTCACTTACCACTATTCCCCAGTTCATTTTCAGTTATAAAGCCTTGCCAAACAGGGGAATAAACATCTGTCAGAACTATTACTTGAAGTATAGATTAGGGTGTTTCTTCTGCTTCCTTGTGAAGTCTCTGGCTTGTACTTTGAGCATTGTTCCCACTCCTGGACCACATGAGTAAGGGTAATCATCCACTTCAGAATCATGAACAAAAAAATCTAAGATCATTCTGGAAGGGAAGAAAATAAAAAAGATAAAAGGGAAGGAATGTTGAGGTAGATGAGAGAAGGGATGGAGAGAACAGAGAAGGAAAAGAGAAAAAAAGGAGGAAGGGAACGAGGGGCTCAAAAGCCCCTGATTTTGTCTGAAGGGTACAGAGTAAGAAAAAAATACTTTTGCTTTTAGGCACCAACAGCCTACATCAATCGGGATCAACTATTGAGCTTTGTTTTTAGGCCCCATTGTGAAGCCCAGCAACATATTAACTACAGCCCTTGAATTTGGACACCTGGTTGCAGTAAAACTGCTCTGTAACCTAGGCATTCTGCTTTAGTTTAGCCCATGCCCTAGTCACTCATCATTTTACAATCTGGGGCACTTGTACACCCCTACAAGAGAGGAGAACATAGATACCATGTCGTTCTGGTGGGGTGGTGGTGATAGTGGTGGATGCTTTCTCATTGCAGGAATGGAGGTGAGGAGAACTGGAAAGACACAGTTGGAAACTCTTTGACCTGGGGCATCTATGAACATAGGATCTCCATTTTAAAGCCATAGGTATTTTTTATTCTGATACACTAAGAAAGGTTTTTTTTTTTTTAAAATAACATGCATAAAATAATTTTCTTTCACTAATTGATTATTTTTGTTTCTTTCATTACTTGATTAATTTTGTTTCCAGTGGTATAGAAGAGAACAAAGTAGAAGCACTCACAGTTTCATTCTATAGCAAAAACTACTGATGAAAATATAAAACTAACTGCAATATTCATAATAAATATTATACTTAAAGAGAAAGCAGAAGCTATTGCTGAAAATATTTTATCAAATGATATTCTAATATGATGCATCATACTAATTACATATTAAAGGAAGAAGAATAGTTACTATGTTGTAGGTGCCTGCAGATATTTTGCCTGACAGTTGAATGAAATCAATATGGAAACTGAATCAACTCTCAGCTTATACACAGTGCACATATGAGAGCATCACAGTTGATGACTTTTTGTTCTGCTTATCAATGAGGAATTTGTACTATAGAAAAGAGATTTTTAAAATTTATTTACCATTTATTTTATAGTCTTGAAAAATGAATTAGGAGGAAGGGAAGGGATTGTTGTGGGAATGGAGTTGACAGCACTTTAATGCTAATTTACATTTTATTTTATTCATAGTGAATATTTTGTGGACATTTATATGCTTTCTGACTTTAACTTTGTGTATCAAGAAATAGTAAAAATGTTGATTCAGTCCCATTGCAGCTACTAAATCTGTCACTTGCTAAAAAGTGGGCAGTGAGTTCAAAAATTTGCTTTGCCAGGTTAGTAGATCCCCTCTGTCTTGGGCAAGTACCTGTATGACTATTTGAAATTCTTGTTGATATTAAGAGACTATATCCAATCTTGTTCCTTAAGAACATTCACATATTTCAAGTAATCTCCTCAATAGCATAACAACTGTGTAGATTACATATGTTAAATTACTTAAGCCTAACTTTCAGGGATAAAATAAATTATTCACTGCTGAGGATTAGATAAGATTTCTTAAATAGATCGTGTAGCAAATTCTTTACCTTTGATGCTCAGATTAATTTTCTACCAGTTGGTTATACTTTTTAGTTGTTGAAGAAATACATCAATGAAATAATGCGAAGTAAAGAAAAAATCACAATAAAACACATTGGAAAATATGCAAAAATTCTAGAAATTATTAATCTGACACAAAATGGATTAGAAATTCACTTATTGTTCTTAAAAGCTACAGGATTTATACCTATTTCTCTCTTATCTTCAAAACTTATTTAGAAAATGAGTCAGGTGCAGTGGCTCATGCCTGTAATCCCAGCAATTTGGGAGGTGGAGGCTGGCGGATCATTTGAGGTCAGGAGTTCAAGACCAGTCTGGCCAATATGGAAAAAACCTGTCTACTACCAAGAAAGACAAAAATTAGCCTAGTGTGGTGGCATGCATCTGTAGTCCCAGCTACCCAGAATCTGAGGCAGAATCACTTGAACCAGGGAGGCAGAGGTTACAGTGAGCTGAAGTTGCACCACTGCACTCTAGCCTGGGCAACAGAGTGAGATCCTGTTTTAAAAAAAAGTTATTTAGAAAATGAATTATTTTTAAAATGAATACATCTCTTGGTTAATTTTATTTAGTCAATTATTGGGTATGGGGGTACTTTTAATGTCCAAACTTAAGACTGACATCATATCCATTAATTTCCTGTTTTATTTAAGTCTGCACTTCTGAATAGAGCTGAATAGCAGGGTGGAGGAGCAATTGAATAACAGGAAATCCTTACTTCCAAATCCAGCCATTGTTGCAATAGGTGACAAAGTTATATGTAGCATTAACAACTGCCTTTGAACCAAACCCCAGGACTTCGGAATTCCATTGTTCACTAGAAGTCCAATGCGCTATCCATTGTGCCACAGAGCCACCCAGGACTTCTGAAGTCATACTGAGTGCTATTCAATTTGTTGCTTGTGTGATAGCAGATAAATAAAGAAAGTGATTAAGAGCTACTGCATACAAGCACGTGATCAGTGGACTGATCTAATTGAACAACTTAGGCCAGTTTTGGTGTATAGTCTACTCTCCATATCTGTGGGTTCTATATCCATGGATTCAACCAACATATTTAGAAAAGAAATTGCATCTGTACTGTACATGAACAGACTTTCTTTTTCTTGTGATTCTTCCCCATACAAAACAGGGTAACAACAATTTACATAGCATTTACATGGTATTAGGTAATTTAAGAAACCTAGACATAATTATATAGGAGGATTTGCATAGATTATATGCAAACATGATGCCATTTTATTTCAGAAACCTGAACATCTGCAGATTTTGGTATTGAAAGGAGGTGCTGGAACTAATTGCACAAGGATAATGAGGAACAACTATACTTCATCTTGTGGGGTAAAAATTTGTGTGCAGTAGGATCACAATACAACACATATTTTAGTTTGTAAAGTATGACTATAATTCAAAAAATACAAAAAAAAAAGTATCATGTGTTTATCTTTTATACTTTACAATTTCTACATCATTTAATGTTTTAGTTACACCTGGTTATAAATTAACAGTTTAACAATATTAGTTAAAAATAAGGAAGTGGCATTTGTATTATGTATTTTGAGTTTTAATTTATGGATAATTAAACATTCTTCTCTGAACTACTTTTTCAAGAAAAGTTTAAATTCTTCTAAATACTTCAGAATGGCAGTTGTTTTTGATCTGAGCATAGGTAAACTTGATTTAAAAGGACAATTGGCAATGGGAGGAGGGGAGTATTGCAATAGGGTAAAGGAGACTTGCAAAAGGAGAACTCTGACCATAAAATCTGAGTCTCAAGGGTAGGGAAGAAAGGAATTTTATTTAATTGACTGGAGTAAAAATGGCTAGAGGGACTCAGGTATGAGGGAGTGTGATGAGCAGGTGATATGACTAGACAGTTTATCGGGGAACTTCTTTATTTGGGGCTGATTCTTGGACGCATGGCTTAGGAGAGTCATTCTACATTCTGATGATGGCTTAGGATAGGGTGGGTTGAAGCTCAGGATTCTGAGGAGAGGACAGAAGCTTGACTAAAGTTTTGTCTAGTCCAGTTATCAGGTGTTTTATCCAGATTGGCCAGTGTGTATTTGTTGTTCAGCTAATCAAACATGAGACAAAGAATGGGAATGTGGAAGGTCTCTGTCTAGCTTTGTCATAGTGAATATGAAAAGCAATCATGATTCTTATCTAAGTAATCTGGGAAAGGGTTTTTCTTTGAAGTAAGTCCATTTTTTTTTAGAACAGAAAAGAACAAGGGATTTCTTTAAACTTTGATGTTTTTCAGGAGCACAGGGCTCAAGACTAACACTGCCAGTAGTGAACTAAACAATGTCAGTGGAAGTAACTCTGAAGTCCCAAAGAGTTAGTACTAATTTTACTTAGAAATATAATCCCTTCCAAGGCAGGTGGATCACTTGAGGTCAGGATTGTGAGACCAGACTGACCAACATGGTGAAACCTTATCTCCACTAAAAATACAAAAAAAAAAAATAGCTGGGCACAGTGGCAGGTACCTGATATCTCAGCTACTCAGTAGGCTGAGGTAGGAGAATCACTGGAACCTGGGAGGTGGAGGCTACAGTAAGCCGAGATCACACCATTGCACTCCAGCCTGGGCAACAGAGTAAGACTCAGTCTCAAAAAACGAAAAAAAGAAAAGAAAAGAAATATAATCTCTTGTGTACTGAATTCATTTTTGTAGCCATACTTGATGAAGAGATACTAAAACTGCTGTGCTTATTTGTGGGCTTATAATGTGGCTAATAAAGCCACAAACGATCAAAATTTGAACAGTAATTATAAACAAAAAACTTTAAAACAAAAAAAAGAAAATGAAGGGAAACATATTGAATTAAAGGTTGCTAGAAGCAGGTGCTTAATATTTTCCCTATAAACAATAGTGCTTTGCAGGATTATAATAAACTAGCACTTAGCTAAGACTGAAAATATACAATTGCCATGACATTAGGTTTGCTTGGAAATGTTTAGTGAGTTTGTAGCAGAGAAGGTAGTGAAAATACTACATTCCACTGACACTACATTGACATGTTTCAGAACAGACTAATGACAAAGAGGATCATCTTAGGGTACAGTTATAATGTTTTGCACTGCAACTTGCAAATGGCCGGATGTGGCTAATATGACAATTAATACATATGTGTATATGTGTATACACACACACATATACACACACATATGTGAATATATGTATATATATACATAATATGTATACATATATATTTATATATGATTTGAACATAGTAGCTATGGAAAGGAGGCATATGTTTTTCAGCTTTGGAAAACACAACCCTGAAACATAAAAGTATAAAGAATTACATAGTTTTAAAAATGTGGTTTAGAGCTTAAGATTTTTTGAATGTGTTTTGAGGACAGAGCTATGATATCAGAAAACCTTCTGAAGTTATTATGTAGATTAAAGAGTGAGCTTCTGCCAGAATGTAAATCAACACACTACTTCCTTCAAAGAGAGAGATTTGCTGTGGAAAAAAAAGTGCCTAGTAACTTGGTAACATTTGTTAATTATAGAAAGGCTAAAATGTCAAAGTTGAGTGGTAAAATAGAAAGCTGATCATAATTGACAACATTATTTAGGAATCAAATATTCTGTTCGAAATATTTCAATTACTGAATAAACATTTAGTATTTCTAAAAAATAAAAAAAAAATTCATTTAATGCCAACTTTTACAAACTATAAGTTAGACAACTAGTTTTCATATTGAATTTATTGAGCATTAATAATTTTTAAAATTTTTGCTTGTGAAGACGTATACAATGCAGCTTTCAATGGCAGATAAACTCAAAGAGTGAAGACAAGAGTTAAAAGTCTAGATGAATCATCTCTACAGATTCCTTAACATGTTTCATAATTTAATGATTATAAGTTAAGTAGAGAATGTTGATATTACATATATATGAAAATTTATTGATATGGTTTGGATTTGTAATCCTAACTGTTGAAAGAAGAGTCTAGTGGGAGGTGATTAGATCATGGGCCGAATCTCACCTTTGCTGTTCTCATGATAGTGAGGGAGTTATCACCAGATCTAGTTGTTTAAAAGTGTGTAGCATCTCCGCCTACATTCTCTTTCTTCTGCTCCAGCCATGTAAGAAAGTGCCTGCTTGCCCTTCGTCTTTTTCTGCAATTTCAGTTTTCCTGAGGCCTACCTAGCCATGCTTCCTGTACCGCCCGTGAAACCTGAGCCAATTAAAACGTTTTTCTTTATAAATTGCTCAGTCATAGGCATTTCTGAACAATTCAATAATTTTATAGAGACATTTGATTTGAATTTTCCAAGAGAATAAGATTCACATATGGAAAATCTTTGAATGAGGAATTGTTCTCTTTGGTTATGAGATAGTTTAAAGTTAATTATAATTTTATAGGATATGTTATTGAAATTGCTTACTGATAGTGATTGAAGATGAATTTTAAAAACCAACATATGTTGCTTTCTTCTGGATAAAAGTTAAAAATAAATATTCTGAGATGGACTAAAATCACTTTAAATTTAACATTCCATTCAATTCAACAAACGTGTATGAGACTGATTTCTCCACCCATGTTATTAAAACAAAATGTAAATATCATCTAGACATACATTATCTTAGGAAGTAATGCAATCATCAATCTCACATCGATTAGATAAGCTAACAAGCATGAAGCAAGCTCATTTATCACGTTAAATACTTTAAGTAGTGATATGCATGGTATTCATCAAAGAGGCTGTAAAGGAATTTAACATGGATAGTCACCATTTCATTTATAACTTTTCATTCATGTATACTTTGACATGATAGAAAGGTAGGCTGTGTTAGTGATTCTCTACATTACCACTTTTGAATAGTCAATGAACATGTGGAGATGTGTTAATTTTTTTTTGTCTATGTCAGTAGAATTTGGTCTTTTCTTTCATATGTCTATTTTACCCTTACATTATGTATTAAGTTACTGTTATATATTTTGCAAAGCTCTCTAACCATAATACATTATTAATTTAAATATATTAAAAGTGGTCTTCTGTTAAATGTAGTTTAAATGAATGTGGTATTAATGAATATTTAGGACATTTATTGATGATATAACATTTATTGATAAATGATAGAACATTTATAGATATGTTATAGATACAGATAGACTATATATAGAATTATATATATATATATATATATACACACACACACATATATTCTACATATGGAAGTGATAGAATAATAAATGATAGAACATTTATTGAATTCTGGACTCTCCCCTTTTACCTGTATTTCCCATCAACTTCTCTGTATTCAAAGCCAATGTCTACTTTTGCAACCTGGGTCACTTTAGCCTCCTCTAACGAACTAAAACATCTTCAACTTAAACTCAGCTCCAACAGCTTGCACATTCTCTTCATAATGTTTAGATATGACATGGTTTTGCGTGACCTTTTTTTTTTTCCAGACACTAGTATCAAAAAGTAGGTATGTATCTGCAGTTTTAAAAGTGACAAAAATTGTCTCTAAACAGGTTTCATAAAGTTTACCTAAAATACTATGTGTATTTTTGTACTTTGAACATATTTTTAAACTTTTAACATATAAAAATGACAGTTATAAAAACTATTTATTTTCTATATGCTAATACACACACACCCACACACACACACACACACACACACACATCCAGTATACCCATAAAAAATAAGAATACAGTCAAGAAAGGTAAATAAATATTAAAGCTATTACAAATAAATACTTTTGATGATCCAAAAAATTATGACATGTTTTATAACAAACTATAAGTATTTTTATAATACTGTAAGTATTACAAGCATATAATACAGGACTACAATAGGCTGAATAATGTGCCCCCAGCCCTGCGAAGATGTCCATATTTGAATCACCAAAACCTGTAAAAAATATTACCTTATATGACACAGTGAACTTTGTAGATGTAATTAAGAATCTTGAGATGGGGCATTTATAATGCATTATATTGTTGGATTCGATGTAATCAACTGGATCCTTATAAAAAGAGGGGATCAGAGTTACTCGTAGGAGATGTGACCATGGAAAGAAGTTGAAATGATGAGAGAAAGAAGCCATTGGTCAAGGACTGCAGGTGGTCTCTAGAAACTGGACAAGGCATGGAAACAGATTGTCCCCTAGGTCCTCCAGCAGTAGACCATCCTGCACACACTGGTATTAGGTCACTGGAACTAATTTTGGACTTCTAATCTCCAGAACTGTGAGATAGTAAATATGTGCTATTTTAAGCTACATGTTATAAATAGGAAATGAATACAGCAACCTAATATTTTCTGGTGAGAGGTTTTCCATGATAATTAATATTTAATCTGAAGCACAAAGGAAAATCAAAAACTAGTCAGGTAAAGAGAAGTAGAAATTTCTGGGTAGGAAGAATGTTGCATATATAAAGAATTTGAGGAAGAAACAGCATAGTGAATGTATTAGTTTCCTATTGCTTCTGTAACAAATTCCACACACCCAGTGACTTGAAACAAAACAAACGTAGTATGTGACACTTTCTGGAGGTCAAAAGTTTCAAGTCAGTATCACCAGACTAAAATCAAGGTGTTAACAAGGCTGTGATTCTTCTGAAGACTCTAGAGGAAAATTTGTTTCTTTGACTTTTGCAGCTTCTAGAGGTTGTACATATTTCTTGTCTTGTGGCCTTTTTGTAACCAGCAATCACATCACCCCAACCTCTCTTTTTCTGATTCTTCTGCCTTCCTCTTTCACTCGTAAGGACTCTTGTGATTATATCAAATCTCTTTACTCATGTTGTCCTAAGACTGACCTTTGACCATGTGCACGCAGACTGCTCTCTTCTTGGGGGTTGGCAATGTTAATTACCCACTAATGGTGTTTGCTCAAGACCTTTGTCATTTATTATGTACTAAATAAATGCAAAGTGTCTCCACATATTCAGACTCCACGGATGGATTCCCGTCTCTTCTGGGTCTGTGAGGCATGGGGTCCTGTGGCCGGGCTCACACAGGAGGAACACCTGCGTCTGCATACTTCTGTAATCCATTGCTCAGACAGTCTGTCGGTCAGACTTGGCAGCTGGTGGCCCTGTGTGAAGATTGCTGCAATGGATCACTAATCATGATGGAACCCTTGAAAATCAAGGTGAAGAGACTGCACAGTCAGTAAGTCAGTAAGTCATAGGTGCCCCCTCAGGATTTCCATGCTCCAGGGAATCGTCCAGGCTAGGGTTTCCTCATGGGACAACAGCTATCAGCGCCACAGAAACAGTATATAAAAGTATTGAAACAGCTGCTTAAAGCTAATGGAGCCACGGTTTCACAGGCTCAATTAAGGAACCTAATGCAAACTGTTGTTTCCCACAACCCATGGTTCTTGGAAGTAGATATGCTAGACATAGAACTCTGGGAACAAGTGAGAAGAAATCTTAAACAGCATCATGTGCAAGGGTAATGGGTCCCAGTAACACCTTTAATGTTATGGGCCTTAGTTAGGACTGCTCTGGCCCCGCTATACACAGAAGACCCTAAAAAGGCAAGAGAGATGGAACCGTTATCTTCTTTACTGCCTTCTCCCTCTCCCTCAGCCCAGCAATTACTGGTTAAAAATATTAAAGAGGAAATGAAGATTTTGCCTGAGCCCCCTCTCCCAATAAATTGGAAAAAAGGCAAGGGATACACTACAGCTATGGGACCTCGTCTTAGGCAAGTGGCATTAGAAGAGGAGCTGTTGGCCTACCAGGTAATGCAAAATCAATAGGGCCATCGGGTATATAAACTCATTTATTTTGATGCTTATAAAGAGATGAGAAAAGACAGAGAAAATGGAGCTGCTAGCCCATTTATGAAAGAATTAATTGAGGTGGTAGCAGGCAACTTCCATATGAGCCCATGAGACTGCTCAGTGCTAGCTAAAACAACTTTAGACACAAGTCATTACCTTTTCTGGATAGAAGAATTTGATGAATTATGTGAACGGCAAACACTTTTTCTAACAATTATCACTGTTATTCCTCCCCTACTCCTGATGTGGCTCTCTCAAAATCCTATTTGGGTAAAACAGTGACCTTTAAAGGGAGAGAAGTTACAGTGAGACTGTAAATTAGTTGAGGAGCAATTAAAAGCCAGCCATATAGAACCATCAAATAGTCCTTGGAATTCTTCCATTTTTGTCATTCCCCAAAAGTCTGGCAAATGAAGACTTTTGCATGACTTACAGGATATTGACGCTAATTTGTAGCCTATGGAACCTCTTCAGCAGGAGATCCCCTCCCTTATGCCAATTCCTCAAGATTGGCCTATAATTGTTATTGACCTAAAAGAATGCTTTTATCCTATTTTCCTTGCAGAACAGGACAGAGAAAAATTTGCGTTTACAGTACTAGCTATCAATAATGAAAGTCAGCTCACCAATTTCATTGGAAAATACTTCCTCAAGGAATGCCAAACAGCCCTACCATGTGTCAGTGTTATGTAAATCAGGCTTTGCTCCCTAGTAGAAAAGAATATCCTAATTGCAAGATTGTTCATTTTATAGATAATATTTTATGGGCAGCCCTAATAGAGCCAGTACTTTTAAGTTTATGAGCCTCTGTCCAAAGGAATACACAGTTAAGAGGTTTAATCATAGCACCTGAAAAAGTACAAATATCCTCTACTTGGAAATATCTTTGATACATACTAACTTTCCAATCAGTAAGGCCTCCAAAGTTTACATTAAATACTAGTAACTTGCATACCTAAAATGATTATCAAAAACTACTAGGTGATGTTAACTGGCTTTGCCCCACTTTAGACATAACTACTAATAAGTTGTGAAGCCGGTTTTCTATCTTGAAAAGCAATGATGCCCTGGATTCTCCCAGGTGTTTAACCCCTGCAGCAAAAATGGAAATTGAAGAAATAGAGCAAGCTATCTGTCAAAGGCAACTAGATCACTTAGACACAAGATTTTCAGTTCAGTTGTTTATTTTTCCCACTAACTATTCCCCAATAGGATTAAAAGGACAAATGGCCCCAGGACTGCACTTCCTAAAATAGGATTTTGACTCACATAATGGGACTAAAATACTATCTCCCTATATCCAACCAGTTAGTAAAGTCATCTATACAGGTTGCAGACAATGCAATCAGTTGCTAGGTTATAACCCTGATATAAGAATTCCTTTGAGTAAAAAGCAATTTTAAGCAGTATTGCCCCTATTTCTAGATCTTTGAATAGCACTCTGATTCAATCAGCTTTAGGAAAGCATTTTGCTGAAACTTCTCAAGGCATAAAACACTCAGTTTTATGGAAGGATGTAAATAGTAATGAATGGAATGGTCCAAATGATTTGTTAACATTGAGAAGAGGATATATTTGTGTTCACACCCTCTCAGGCCCCCTTTGGTTTCCAGAACAATGCATCAAACCATACCATGGAATGGCTATGATCCAACCAGAGATGAAGAAAATAACCCTGCAGAACCCACAGGACAATGCAGACAATGTGGCTTCCTCAGACAACACAAGCCCTGGACATTACCTGGGGTATGCTGAAGAAAGCAATTCAAGGGACTGAGCAAATCCTGCTCCAAACACAAACACCATTAACTATAGATAATCTGTTTCTTTTTTATTTTTTCACTCTGCCTGTAACCTGTACCTTATACACACTATTGAACCCATCTTCTAAATCTAACTTTTTTCCACCTGTTACTTAGGCAGACACTCCCTTCCCAGACTCTAATGACCTGACTGCTTGGCTAGGAGGAGTTACCATGCCTCCAGTGGGGTTCCTCAGTAATGTCACACATTGGACTGAGGTGCAAGTAACACTACATGTCACTCCTTGATTGGAAAATAATGTTACTGACTGTACTCATGTTTGTCTTATGTTATTTACCAATTCTAAGATGCAAAGCTAGAAGATGGCTTATAACTGCTGCACCTAACAAATATGTTACTGTGCGCATCTGT